CCTAGATTAGATTACTGTTCGCAAATAGTTAAGGATGTGGGCTGTTCTAGTTTTAGGGAAATGCGAAGTTTAGCGCAGGATAGGAAAGAGTGGAGGTACGTGTCCAACCAGTCTTAGGACTGATGACCTTATGATGATGATGATCTATTTAAATAACTCTATTACTGTACTTTCCTATAATCCCAGTAACATTTCATCTTTCGTGTACTAACCGCATGACGTCTGTACCTTTCATTCCTTCCTAATTGCAATTTTACAGTCGGTTTCTTCGGTGGTTGACCCGCCATCAATTACTTGGTATTTCTAATCTTAAAGTTTCCATATTTCAATACTTCCCTACTCGTATCTACTACCCTCTTTATTCCTTTCTTGTAGAACAGTTTTCATTTTTCATTAATACAAAAAATCAGTTCGTCTTCCGCCTTCAGCAAGACAAGTCTCTTCTCTTCTCTTCTCTTTTCGTTACGCCAGTTGTTATTAAGTTGTATATATATGTTGTTGTTATCTAGTTTTAATTATTCGTTTTCTAAGTGACCCAAAGAAACTTACAAAAGTAGAAATTATGAATACTTATTTAGGTCGAAATTGTGCTGACAATTCATTATTTTAAAATGTCCAGTATTTCCGTAGTATTCCTGTTATCCAAAGTTCACGTTTTGAAATAAATAAATAATGATTACCGTATCACGGAAGTTCAACGTTAACTTGACCTAATTTTATTAATTATTATTTACCAGAAATGAAGAGGTATTGGAAACAATAGGAGAACAGAGGACTCTATGGAAGTCAATAAAAAATAGGCGAGATAGGTTAGTAGGACACCTTCTCAGACGTGAAGGTCAAGTGAGAGACATATTAGAGGCAGAAGCAGGAGTTAGGAGGGGTAGAGGTAGACCTAGATTAGATTACTGTTCGCAAATAGTTAAGGATGTGGGCTGTTCTAGTTTTAGGGAAATGCGAAGTTTAGCTCAGGATAGGAAAGAGTGGAGGTACGTGTCCAACCAGTCTTAGGACTGATGACCTTATGATGATGATGATCTATTTAAATAACTCTATTACTGTACTTTCCTATAATCCCAGTAACATTTCATCTTTCGTGTACTAACCGCATGACGTCTGTACCTTTCATTCCTTCCTAATTGCAATTTTACAGTCGGTTTCTTCGGTGGTTGACCCGCCATCAATTACTTGGTATTTCTAATCTTAAAGTTTCCATATTTCAATACTTCCCTACTCGTATCTACTACCCTCTTTATTCCTTTCTTGTAGAACAGTTTTCATTTTTCATTAATACAAAAAATCAGTTCGTCTTCCGCCTTCAGCAAGACAAGTCTCTTCTCTTCTCTTCTCTTTTCGTTACGCCAGTTGTTATTAAGTTGTATATATATGTTGTTGTTATCTAGTTTTAATTATTCGTTTTCTAAGTGACCCAAAGAAACTTACAAAAGTAGAAATTATGAATACTTATTTAGGTCGAAATTGTGCTGACAATTCATTATTTTAAAATGTCCAGTATTTCCGTAGTATTCCTGTTATCCAAAGTTCACGTTTTGAAATAAATAAATAATGATTACCGTATCACGGAAGTTCAACGTTAACTTGACCTAATTTTATTAATTATTATTTACCAGAAGAAAACAACATACAAAAATTTTCTGTTATAAAAATTTGTTAAAAAAAAATTATTTTACGTGTGAAATCTTACAAGAGCTTTTTCCAGGGGTCTGCATGATAGAAAGTGAAAGCAGTAAGGACACATCAAAGGTAACGACAAAAGCGAATGGAAGTAAAAATTTGGGCATATTTCAGGTAAGTTTCAAAAACAATGAGACAAAACTACACATATGTTCATGTTCATGTTTTCTATAGATCAACAGCAAGGAGTGGTGTCGCTACAATCAAAAAGGTGGAAAATGTAATATGAAATGTGAAGGTAAGTTATAAAACAATATTCTTCTACTTTGAAGTACGTATATTATAAGTACAAATCTGATGCGCCTAATAGTATAATACCTACATACGTACATATTTAATATATGAATATTATTTACTATTATGATAAGGAGTTTCGCAGTTATTCTAATTTATAATTTTTGTATCTACCAAAAATATTTGTTTGTCGGTATGTTTTGGTTACGTAAAATAGTTTTTTAAAACAATTTGGCATGCAGACGTGAAGCAGGTCACCATCCCTGTCTACGAACACCCTAAAAGGCACAACTAATAGACAATAAAACAATTAAACATTCAAAACTAACCTTTATCGTTAAATTTCGCCACCACGACTGTCACACCAAGAAAAGCATCTTTTTATCAGAGATATTATATGATTTATAGAAGGAATATTATAGTATCAAACAAAAGGTAACAACTTCCAACATCACGACAGGTTCGGCTACCGCATCACTCGCGAATTTTCCGCTTAGAAAAAATAACAACTTCAGTATGTTTCGCGTCATTGTGGAAGATCCCTTATACTTATTTCTAATCGTTTTAATGAAGCCAAGTCAAAAGTAATTAAAGTTTCATATTTTCTGTAAAGAATGTTTCAGAATCTGATCGTATTTAAGTTACCGATAAAAGTTTTTGCGTTATTGGTGTTTAAAATTTTTGAAGTTGTATTACATTTCGAAAATCCCACAAATTTTTTTATAAAACTTTTATTTTCAAACAACTTAAAAAATTTGTTAATAAAGTCAATTATTGTTTCGCCTTTTTTAGATCTGATAAACGAAAATCTTGAAGACGATTCATCTTGTGCAAAGAAAGTGTTTAATGAATATGGTTTTCAAAATTGGGATGGATGGAAAAGAAGCTGCAAAGGAAGAACTCTTCCACTACCAAACTGTAAAGAAATAAAATTTTAATCAATAACAACATTTTTTTCACGTGCCCAATACCTATACCAATACTTAATCATTAATAAGTAAAATAAAAGAATCCCTTTCTCAAATTTAATTTATGTCGAAGTACCTAATCGTCCTTGGATTTTAAAACGGAATTGGAGCTTCAAAAGCTAAAGCACTTTACATAAAATATTTGAATTTAGTTCTTCGAACTCTTTTGATGAAGGATGAGTGCCAGTCTCCTTAAATTACACAATATTGATAAGTAAAGATATTTTATGGCCTTTCTTCAAAGCTCTTTGAAGATTAATAAAAGGATTTAAAATTACAGTGTATTTTCTTCCATTTTTATTAGCAATTAATTATTAATAATAATGACATTAATAATAAATATTATACCTACATAAATATAAATAAAAAACTAAAAATAAAAAATCATTGGAATTTTATTATTGTTGGTAAACTATAATGATGACATTCCATATGCCCGCATTGCGTAACATGGCTATCAACAAAAATTGATTAAGCTAACCGAGCATGTCCAGCTAAAACCATGGTCAGAAGATCAAGTATAAATAAATAAAAATAATTTACATCAATACCACAACTAAAAATAGCAATATGATAATTATGCAGATATGTAAAAAATATGTAGTTTATTTATTTTGTCTACTGCTTTATTTTTTAACTTTCAATATTCGGCACCAAATTTTTGCGTTTCATTCCCACATGTGACCAATGAAGACATACATCTGGAGGGCAGAACGGAAGGCCTCCTAGTAGGAATCAGGGGAATGACTAAATAGGCTGTGGAATATTACTATCCTAGCATTTCCCTAAATGGCAAAAAGAAATTATGGAAAAACTCCAATACAAGCAGACGATCGAGGATCCGAAAATAAATCGATGTCTTTCCGAATTTTAAAACTTGATATAGATTCTAGACTTATAGACGTCTAACCCTGGCCACTCAGTCTTTGGTTCTATCTATATTTACATCTACGAGGGTGGATTGATAAGTTTCCGGCCTGACCAAGAAAAACAAGGTTTTTAAAAATTTTTTTTTTTTATTTCTCAACATAATCTCCTCCAAGGCTGATACATTTCTCATAGCGNCTGACTCCCTTCCTAATATTTACTTCTCTACGTTGCATCCCTAGCTCTATAACTGCCTGTTGCTCTTTATACAAACTAAGTATCACTCTCCTATCTTTGTAACTCATCCCTACGTTTTTAAGTATATTTAACATCTGCTAACCGAGCATGTCCAGCTAAAACCATGGTCAGAAGATCAAGTATAAATAAATAAAAATAATTTACATCAATACCACAACTAAAAATAGCAATATGATAATTATGCAGATATGTAAAAAATATGTAGTTTATTTATTTTGTCTACTGCTTTATTTTTTAACTTTCAATATTCGGCACCAAATTTTTGCGTTTCATTCCCACATGTGACCAATGAAGACATACATCTGGAGGGCAGAACGGAAGGCCTCCTAGTAGGAATCAGGGGAATGACTAAATAGGCTGTGGAATATTACTATCCTAGCATTTCCCTAAATGGCAAAAAGAAATTATGGAAAAACTCCAATACAAGCAGACGATCGAGGATCCGAAAATAAATCGATGTCTTTCCGAATTTTAAAACTTGATATAGATTCTAGACTTATAGACGTCTAACCCTGGCCACTCAGTCTTTGGTTCTATCTATATTTACATCTACGAGGGTGGATTGATAAGTTTCCGGCCTGACCAAGAAAAACAAGGTTTTTAAAAATTTTTTTTTTTTATTTCTCAACATAATCTCCTCCAAGGCTGATACATTTCTCATAGCGGTGTTCCAGTCTATTAATGCCATCTCTATAGACTGATTCGTCAAGCTCCTCAAAATAACCATTTACAGCTTCGATTACTTCTTCATTGTCCGCAAATCTCTTACCGCCAAGCCATTTTTTGAGATTAGGGAACAGAAAATAGTCACTCGGGGCTAGGTCTGGAGAGTAAGGAGGGTGCGGCATCAATTCAAACTTTAGATCGTTGATTTTAGCCGTCGCAACGATTGACGTGTGCGCTGGTGCGTTATCGTGATGAAACAAGATTTTTTTCTTCGCCAGATGAGGTCGTTTAATTTTCACCTCGTGGCTCAAACGTTGCAATAAGTCTGCGTAGTATTGACCAGTGATAGTATTACCCTTTGCAAGGTAATCAATGTATATAATACCTCTTGCATCCCAAAAAACAGTAGCCATAACCTTGTTCGCCGAAAAAATTGTTTTTGCCTTCTTTGGAGTTGGTTCCCCTGGTCCAATCCACTGTTTAGACTGTTCTTTGGTTTCAGGAGTGTAGTGGTGGACCCACGTTTCGTCAACGGTTACGAATCGACGCAAAAATTCGCTTGGATTACGCTTATACAATGACAAATTTGCGGTAGAAATGTTTTTTCGAATCAATTTTTGGTCGACTGTTAGCAAACGCGGCACCCATCTTGCACAGAGCTTTTCCATATGCAAATGTTGGTGCAAAATATGTTGCACACGTTCATATGACATCTTACAGGTCTCAGCTATCTCACGCACTTTCAATCTGCGGTCTCCCAGCACTATTTGATGAATTTTTTCGATCATATCTGGAGTTGTGACCTCAACGGGGCGTCCTGAGCGAGGCCCATCAGAGGTGCTCACACGACCCTTTTTAAACTCGGAAACCCACTGCTTAACGGTTGAATATGACGGGGAGGATGTCCCCAGTGTTGAGTCCATCTCTTTTTTAATTTCCTTCGGCGTTAACCCCTTCAAATAAAAGTATTTGATGACAGCACGATTTTCCTGCTTTTCCATTTTTACGAAAACCACAGAGGCGTCTTGTTCAGCGTGCTGTCAAACCTACACTAGCAAGGAGATCGGGCTGAAACTATAGCTACAAGCTATCCAAGGATGGTACTATAGAATGTCACCTCAAGGTAGGCCTAGTGGCGTCATCTCTTGGTTAGGCCGGAAACTTATCAATCCACCCTCGTATATACTGTGTCACGCTATTGTATAAAGAGGCAAAAATTTGCTTATAAGTATTAAGGAGTAATCTGTGGAACTACTGAACTGATTCTAAAAATTCTTCCACTAATAGAAAGCTACACTGTCTCTAAGTAATGTATAGGTTCTATTTTATTTTATTAAAAATGAATTTGATGATTTTTTAAAATATTATCACAGTCCTACAAGCTAACTGTAAAATTAAGAACTACAAAACTTGTTTCAAAACCTTAACTTATTAGGTAATCTGGGGTTTATTATCTAATTGGTGTTGCAGGATTCTATAAAAAAAATGACTTACGGTATTCAAATAAGAGAAAAATAAGAACATTCATTTTTAATGATAATGAAAAACTTCGTTACCTACAATCGAATAAAATTAAATTTAATGATAAGAAAAAATCAGCGACTAAAGGAGCCATAGTCCTCTCCCATCAGGATGTATACTTTTAAATAGGCAAACAAAATTTTATTAAAGAAATAGAATAGAATAAAAATTTTGTTTTAAATGATCGAAATTGAAGTCTTAACAGTCTACGTACTTAAAAGCACAAAATATTAAATAAGAGACAATGATGAACAAATAAATGAAAAGAAGAAGACTAAGCTCAATTTACCACAACAAACTTTACTACTCGCCAACTGACAAGTGTTTCGTATTGATAAACTGTATACATATAAGTGATTTTATTTAAAGCTATCTCTAGGTCCTGCTTGCTAGATGCTAATACTGCTATATCATCTGCAAATCTAAGCATACTAATCTTTTCCCTTGCACATCTATCCCTACAGTTGTACTGTCTTTAATGATGTTGATGGCGTCTTCGATGTATAGATTAAAAAGTAGCGGTGACAGTGTGCATCCCTGTCTGACTCCCTTCCTAATATTTACTTCTCTACGTTGCATCCCCAGCTCTATAACTGCCTGTTGCTCTTTATACAAACTAAGTATCACTCTTCTATCTTTGNCGCTCCGCTTCACAGCTAGTGATCGGCAACGTTAACAAAATCTTTAAGATGGTATAGCAGTTTGGGAAAACATCAACAAATATCTTTTCATAAATTACCCAAAAAAATTCACCGCAAGATGTGTAAGACTCTGTCTTAGACTGCAGTAAGTAAAATTTTAACTGAATGCACTCATTCACTAAATGTAACTAACAAAATTGCGTCGGGTGATAAGCGGAGGGAAGTCCCCAGTAATAGACAATACACGGAATACACCGACCGAAAACAAGCGACGGGGAATTCCCCGTTCCGTTTGATAGATGCGCACACGGGTTGATTGATCGCAGTGTTGTCAATCTTATGATCGGATTTTTTTTAATTCTAGATAATTTTTATTATTGACAATATCGTCTATTGTTTTCAGTTCAGGTTGGGGGCCCTCTGTATTCACGGGGCCCTGGGCTGCAGCCCAAAAAGCCTTTAAGTAGATCCGCCCCTGTCTCCAACTGAAAATCTCTCCATTGACATTAGTGTCTTATGTTTATAAGGTACGTATATAAATAAGAGAAAAATCTTTTCATCTCTAATAAAAAAGACCCAAATGATCCCTGATAATTTCATTCAGTTAACGTTCGGCAAGCCTTGATACGGTTTTGATGAATACAATACATTATATTTAATTCATATGTAGGTAAAAAGTGACTCGTTTAAATACCCATCTTGACGTCGTCGCAATCTTAGCAGGATCGAAGATGAATGCGATCGCCCTAAGAAATCGCTTAATATAAAACGACTGCTACAGCATAACTGAAGCTTCCGAACAAACCGTTTTTAACTTATTTGCTTCGTTATTTCACCGTCGTGTGTTTGCGAACATACGTCGAATATCAATTCACCAATAAATTAAGGGAAATTCGAAGAACTTGTACATTTTTAACTTTCAACAAAAAAAGACTTAACAACCAACGAACCGCTGAACTGATTTGCTTTTCACAATAACGTTTTAAATTCAGTAAAACCATTTAAATATTTGTCCTCTGCCTGAGTAGCACCGTAAGCAGGTCCCTCTTTTCCATAGGGCATTCTCGGCAAGTGGCCAGGACCTCGCTATCAACGGGGGTCCCCTATTTTTTTGCCAGATCCATCCACCAACCGAAAACCAATATTTATTATCGATAAATGTATTTATTTTTGGGAAAATCAATCATTAATTACAAAACAAAACACATTTCCAAATTTAGAAAGTACATTGAGAATCTTTTCAAGCATGATGATATCTAACAGCATTGAGGAGCGCTCTTTCTCCAAATTGAAAAGAATAAAAATGAATTAAGAAGTACAATGCTTAGAGAAAGATTGACCAGTATGTCTCCAATATCCATGGAATGTGATATGACACCAAATACATAGACTTTGAGCAACTGATTGACGATTTTGCGTTTATCAAAACTTTTTTAAACACTAACCTATGAATGCTAAAGGAATTAGCGTTCCGAATTGTATGTTACAGTTATCTATTAATTTGTTGTGACTGTAAAGTTACAAAAATAACGTTCAATAAATCTAGAATTTTGCTTATCTACTCTGTTTGGTTGTTTTAACAAAATAGTCCTCCGTCAAAACCATAAGTCATCCTTATGTGCATAGGGCCTCTAATAGTCTATGGACGGCCCTAACCGTAAGAGTTATCTTCTGGAAGAAAAAAGGTCCACTTTGAATGACATTACATCATACTGGGGTAAAGATATGATGGAGATGATGAATACAAGTTAAGTATCTATAGACAGATAAAATAAACCTATAAATGATGTTGAAACAAAACTAAAAGACGGACAATAGAATTTCTTCAAACTTCAGATGACATACAAATCTCATGCCTAACTCTCCGACTATTAGGTAACGATAGGCCTAAAATTTGTTTCCTAAAAGAAATATAGTCAAGTTTGAGTAGCATTCTCCAAAATTAGGTAAGGATTTGATGGAGGCCACATCGGAAATGAATGCAAGTGAAGAAACTGCATAGAACGAATGCAAGGAAATAATCCTATAGTTAATATTGAGGGGAAACTAAAGAACTACATAGATTACGAAACATACAGCATAAGAAAGAGTAAGAGGCAATTATGGACTCAATTCAAATTTTACTGAGAGGGAAAGGTCCGCGTGAAAAAGCAGGAATTAAAAAAATTTAGGAATCGTCAAGTAGAGTGGGTTGTTGGGCACTGACGTCGAGTAGTTCAAACACCACCCAAGACTAAAATCGGCTCTGTTTGGATCCCATACCGATGGAAGAAGCTATAACCAAATATTGGTAATACTTCTTAGATCTTAATTGTTCCCAATTCAATTTACCAACTTGGTTTGTTAGTTTAATTTATTACTCTATTAACATCCTGGTAATATTAAATTTAATCCAAGCTACTTCGTTTACGAGTTTAATACACGCACCTAAAAGGGAAAAAAGTATTTTGATAATAAACCTTTCAACCGCTGAGCAACTCCAAGGCTTTAAGAAGGGATTTAATACCAGAAATATTTGATTTGTTTCTACCATATTGAGATAAACTTGAGAGAATATGAGTTCAAATATTTAAGGGCAATGTTTTTCTTGTGATAAAATGCGAGTTGTAACGTCAAATTTATTCAGGTTTTGTCAAGCTATAATATAAGTAAATTACAAAAACCCTTGGCGGGATATAAGAGAGCAAGATAACTCCCACTTATTCCTGACAATCAAAATACTCGAAATTCTGACTTCTTAAGAACTACAACTATAAAAATGATCTCCAACCAGGGGCGGATCTTGAATTTATGGTGCCCTGGGCTAATACTGATTAGCGGCCCTACCTAATTACCCAAACAATTGCCATTTTGTCAAAAAACAGTTTTCTGTAGTGATGTAGATATATATAATATATGTTACGTACAGGAAGAAAGTAGGACAACAAAATATTTTATTTATTTATTAAAACATTATTTATTGCAAAATAAATTGACAGGCTATGAATGGTCATGTTATATAAATTATAAAGTAACCTTTCTGCATTTTTGTGCTGCAAATTCCTTTATTTGGTCATCGCACTGTCCTTTGTTAAATCGCAATTTATGAAAGAACTGTTAAATGATTTAGTCGATAGTTCAACATTATTGTCCTGTATTTGTATTCTATCGTATATACGACATCCTGGAGAAAGAGCGGCAACGTTAACAAAATCTTTAAGATGGTATAGCAGTTTGGGAAAACATCAACAAATTTCTTTTCATAAATTACCCAAAAAAATTCACCGCAAGAGGGGTAAGACTCTGTCTTAGGCTGCAGTAAGTAAAATTTTAACTGAATGCACTCATTAACTAAATGTAACTAACAAAATTGGGCGATAAGCAGATGGAAGTCCCCAGTAATAGACAATACACGGAATACACAGACCGAAAACAAGCGACGGGGAATTCCCCATTCCGTTTGATAGATGCGCACACGGGTTGATTGATCGCAGTGTTGTCAATCTTATGATCGGATTTTTTTAATTCTAGATAATTTTGACAATATCATCTATTGTTTTCAGTTCAGGTTGGGGGCCCTCTGTATCCACGGGGCCCTGGGCTGCAGCCCAAAAAGCCTTTAAGTAGATCCGCCCCTGCTGGTTTCCCAAATCTGTTCAAAGTAATGTCACTTTTGCTATCCTCTCTATTCTCTGTTATGAACGCAAAGTGGCGGGACGACAGGAATAAAGCTTCATTAAAACTAATTGAACTTTGAGTTTACTTAAATATTTGTTTGCCATGTTTAAAGGCTATCAATGTATTTAAGAGCAACAGCAATTTGTTACTGGCTGCTTGGTGTAACAAAAAATATGTTTTTAAAAACAAAAAATAAAATACTTTATTTTTATGCTGAGTACTTTTTTTTAACCTTNTTTATTACTTTATTAATTAAATGATTAGAAAAGTCCTTTTCAATGAGAATTCTGTAAAAATATTAAATTAAGTAACTACTTATAAGTATCATCAAGCAAAGAGCATTTTCAGTAAAATCAAAATCGTAATATTCTGAATCAAAATACTAATTGAAATTGTTCGCAATTGTAAACAATATTAAGCAGTTTGCAAAGATTTTTATCGCTATATAATTGTCAATTTTAAATGAAACTGAATTTTTATACATTGACTAATTACATTTTGTGAATGTTAAAGTATGTTAGTATTACCAGTAGATTAGTTTTTTGCAGTTAAGTTAAACCGTTTTTGATATAAAATAATAGTAGCGAACTTATGAAAATAATTTCTTACCTTGCGTTACACTCAAAATGGAAAAAGTATTATTCTCAAAGACATAGTGTTGTTTCCGCCTGTTTGTCAATAAAGTAGAAAATACTTAATCATTAATAAAAATTTAAACGTAATATTGTGGGTATTTTTTCAAAATAGAAAAAAGTAAAAAACTTTTGCGCGCTATCGTTCGAAAGTTTTTCTTACACAAAATGAACTAATGTAGAAAATGTGTCTCGTTTAAGTTTCCCTTGCAATTTACACGCACTTTTTGTAGCACATGTTAAACTTCATCTTGGTTCTTTGAGAAACGCGAAGGCGTTTTACTTCAGAATGAATTTCTCTTGTCGTCCATGTATCGGACCATGCAGTCTTTAAAACAGTCAAAAAACAAAGCGCATGCTTCAGGTAGATATCTACCTTAAGATGCTAAAGACGAAGGAATAGCTGTAATAATATTACCGAACCTCCTACATGTAATAATAAAAAAAATTCATGCCCATTGTTAAACGTACTATCTTATTCTTAATGAACACCGATTGCTCAATATACCAAGCGTTTCACGTATTAAGATAATTTTCTATTTTCTATTATAAGTACCTATTAATACAGGGTGTTACTCCCAAGGCGGTTTTGTCCATAACTTTGTTATTATACTTTTAATAACAAAAATGTTTCTTTAAAAATGGTCTAGAATCATATGATGTATATAAAGAAAATATTTTCAGTTATACAGGCTGCTCCATTCTTCTGGCCGCTACCTTACTTCGTTATTTTAAATGAAACATTTTCATTTACGTTTTTCGTTTCTTTGTTTAATTTAAGGTCGACTTTGTTAACAGTTCCCCATACCTATCTACTAGTATTTGAGATAATCAACTGTTTTGAAAAAAATAACGACTCCAGCTGTTTGAATGAGACCAAACAGCATCTAAACCATAAAACCTGAAAACCTGCGGTTTGGGTAATTCGTTTTAGCACGAATTACTGTATCTTTTTTGTTATGGGTAAAATGTGTATGTTATCCAGAGCCGGAAATATCGAAACCTACTTTTGAAAATCTTGTAATACGAACAATTTTCTTTTTTTCAAATAGAATGACCATATTAAATGATAAAACTTTCAATGCCAAATTAAAAGCCCTTTAGTGATATAAGGTTTTAAATATAAAATAATGGATTTTTCCTGGAAAACTGTTAAAGATAGATATATATTTAAGATCCTATATCAGTATAAACGGCTTTTAATTAAATTAAAAAAATAAGTAAAAATATTTATTCTTTAGCATAGCCATTTTATTTTCTTCAGAAGAAGAATTTTTGAAAATACCGAAATATGTTTTTGATTAATTTTATCAGTGAGCATTAAGGCAAAACTTCAAATGATCTGACACCAAATAAAAATGTTCTATACAAAATTTGCCACCCCTTCTCATATCCTTAAGGATTGAATTTATAAATATCCGTAAAAGAACCCTCTGTACAAAACTTCAGCTTTCTAAGTCCAACGGTTAAGCCTAGGCGTTAATGAGTTAGAACATTTTTTATATATATAGAAAATATCAAGAAAATGCAGTTTTAACATTACAATAGCATTTTTAATAAGATTTCAACACATATGTAAATAAATATTTATTATGCATATTTAGAAGATGGATGCAACAATTTATTTTTTGTCTTGTTAAAAGGAAATGAACATCTATACAGTATAACGAAAATATGATGTCTTATTATTAATAATAAAGATTCATGTTGAAAAAACTTTAAATGCCACAATTAATTATCACAATTTCTGCAGTGAGCTGTCATCTAACAACAACTGACAAAAGCTACAACATTTATTAATTGCAACATGCGCCCTCTACTGAATTACAGAAGAACGTAAATACACAAAAATTGTTATTTTGTTTAAACCATCCTAACAAAAAATTCGATTACATGTTTTATCCGCATCTCCTACAATTAAAATATCAACATCAGACAAACGAATTTTGCAAAATATGCAAGTAGTTATTACTTATAAAAAAAACAGGTGTTATACTTGTTTTTTTTTACTGTTAGAAATTGCTAACTATTAGATTCAAAAAGAAAGGTAGAGAACACCCTTACAATAAATCTGATTTTAGTTATTTTATCCCCTTCCTCTTCAAACAAAATTATCAAAATTTGGCAAACGGATTTTGAATAGTATATAAGTTAAAATACCTGCAATTTTACTTAAGAGAAATTGCAAAGCTTTATGTTTAAAGGGAAGGGTAGATAGGACCATTACAAAAAATCTGGTTTTACATATTTTGTCCACGTCCCCTACAAAAACAAAAATAACAAAATTTGGCAAACAAACTTTGAATTGTATGTACCTAAGATATAATGCCTGCAATTTTCGCCATCAGAAATTGCAAAACTGTGGAAAAATCAGACTTTACCTATTTTATCCCTGTCCTCTTCAAACAAAATTTTCAAAATCTGGCAAACGAATTTTGAATAGCATGCAAGTTATAACACCTGTAATTTTCCTACTAGAAATTGCAAAACTTTAGATTCAAAAGAAAGGGTAGAGAGCACCCTTACAAAAAATCTGACTATATTTATTTTATCCCCGTCCTCTTCAAACAAAATTATCAAAATCTAGCAATCGTATTTCGAATANGCGCACACGGGTTGATTGATCGCAGTGTTGTCAATCTTATGATCGGATTTTTTTTAATTCTAGATAATTTTTATTATTGACAATATCGTCTATTGTTTTCAGTTCAGGTTGGGGGCCCTCTGTATTCACGGGGCCCTGGGCTGCAGCCCAAAAAGCCTTTAAGTAGATCCGCCCCTGTCTCCAACTGAAAATCTCTCCATTGAAAAGGACCCAAGGCTTTTTTCAACTACGTAGTCCTATCTTGAGAAAACTTTTCATTTTACCGTTGCTACTATTAAGAAATATGTATCATTAAAATGCCTAATGACAAAATATGCATAGAAAAAGAACATGTAGGGATATTTAAAGAAACTTATTTAAAATGTACAAGACTGAATATCTAGTGGTAAGAATAATCACGTTAAGCCGCTTTATAGGTAGGTTTTATTGTGATATGGTACATGTTCCTACATATTTGTTTGTTATAATAATCAAAATATTGATTATAAAACACTTCACAGACAACAGAGAGTTGATAAAAAAGCCGTGAAAAAAGACATTTGCGTGGGGGTAGAAAATCGGCGATTTTATTGTTGTTTACATTTTGGGTAACAATTCCCACGAAACGGGTCAAACGAGGCTCCCAATTACTGAAATTTGAATAATAATAAAAGAAGTAGATAGCAATTTAAGGAATCACTGTGTGTAATACGTAGGTATAGTATAATCAAGTACGCAGTGAGAGATTTGATACGCGATATGCTTCTCTGTGCCTACGTCTTCGCCGCGACATATTTTCCGATAGGAGTGTCCCAATACGCGGCCTACACATCTGCCCACACCGTCCTCCGTCCACAGGTCATATACATCGCAATGTGTACTCAGTATGTGTATTTTTACGTCTGTGTACATGCAACTTTTATTCGATCTAAAGTGTCTGATCGAAAGGAGCCGTTTTTTTGTTGGTGCCGCAGTACCTGATGCCAAGTCGGGGACCTATGAATAATTTAATGAAATTTAACTAATAACAAAGGTTAAGAAACCGCTCGAAATGATGCAAACGGATTTACGGGATGCTTGGCTCTTGGTCATTACACAGATGAAACTCGCGCAAGAAGATGAGAAGGAAATGTAGGCAAACAGAAACTTGTACGTGTTAATTTTAATCACGCCTACTAAAGATTAAAACCAATGGACTGTTTAAGAACGCTCAACGGATTAACCGTGACTTAAAGCAGTACTCAAGATTTATATTTTTATCTTATAAATTGCAATAGTATATTAAACCCCGAGGGAAGAAAGTGCAGCATATTTTCCGAAGTGTAAATTTTCACATTAGCCAAAGGCGAGGGCGACAAGCTCCCGAGGCCCAATTGTTTAATATCCCAGCAGGGTACCAGAGCTAGATCTGTATATGGGCTATTCGGGCTGCAGCCCAGGACTTCGTGAATATAAAGGGCCCCCGACTCCCATTGAAAATTGTAAATTTAGAAAATAAAAAGTAACCTAAATGCTTTATAATTTATATAACAGAACTATAAACAATTACCCTATTTTTTTCTATCATTAAAAAAAATAGTTTTTGACGAAATGATAATTAGTTTGATGAATTAAGTAAACTCTTAAGTACGGTTAACCCAAGGGTCCCCACATTAATGGTCCTCTCCTGCCGGGTACCCGTTCTATCTTTAGTAAAAAGAGTATTTTAACTGTACCCTACCTGAAAGTACGATATTTTTCTATGGTTTCAGGGATAAAAGCGAAACATTCTCTCCTTAAGTAATAAATCGTATTAACTCTTTATTACAAAAGGATTTTTTCTAATTTTCACACGCAAAATGTTAAAATACTTTCCCAACAAAGAGTATCTACCCGACTAGAAATTGGAAGCAGGTTAACCTAGTGTACTATGAGAACCTGAAGAAGAAGAAGTCCAATTTTAGGAATTTCTTTCAAGGTGATAATGTCGAATGCATATGGAAATTAGGATAAACTGATTAGATCTAAATCAGTATTTCCACAGTTTATTAAAAGCGTTAATCGAATTAGGTTTTTCAACCGAGGATCCTATCAGCGTTTGGCCGTTTTGTCCCTTATAAGATATAAATTCCTAAATTCTGATTTGAATTTGAATGTGAATAAACCCAATAACTTGCAATGTGAATTTCCGTAAATTATCCAAGTGAAACTAATTTTCTTTCCATTCATTTAAATTACAATTTTTCCAGTCATTATTAGATATACTGCACGAAGAAAACTAAAGTTTTATGGCAACGCAAAAATTATAATTTTCGAATGTAAATGAATTACCTGAATTTGCCGTAGAAATAATAGAATTTTTTAGGTAACTTGTAAAAATATCAATTTTGACATGTTTCTTTAAAAATTATTTCAAGTTTCTTAATTATTACAATTTAATTTGGAATATCAACTGAATTCCCTAGTGAATTTATTTCTACTGGGATTTTAATTTTTCAAATTCGAGTCCAAATTGTTTTTTTTTATTATTTTCGCTTACGAAACAACGGGCTAATGGAATAAATTGTAAATTCCATTTTCATTTTCTCCGTGTGATCCTTGCAATTTTTACCTAAGACGAAATTTTTCGCTTTCACCCATAAACTCGGATCTTTCTCTGTCTAAAAGCTAGAGATGCACCGGATAGTGGTTTTGTCGGATATTAAATTACTGTAACCCGCCACCGGAAACATCATTGTAAAAAATTGTCACTATTAAAAATTTAAGTTATTTTTGACATTGATATTAAAATGTAC